TGGGCACTCCTACTCAAGAAATGTTGCACCAGCTGGTTCTGAGTATGCGGAGACGGTCAAAGCTAATCATTGTAGTAAGGGGAAGGCATATACCTAATAAGGAACATCTGCTTGTTGTTCTTCCTGTTGAATAGACAAGCATGAGTCACGATACTATGCGTTCAATAAAGCTTTGTTTTGTTTGATTCCATACCGTAATGCGTTTCCTTTTTCAGCGCCGATGCTTTTTCACTTTAAATTTGGGTATATATCCACATTTTATATTTTATTTATAATTTTAGTATGAAAAGTTAGAAACAACGTAATATTTTTGAGAAATTAAATTAGTTATTTCACAAATTTGATGAGCTATTTACTGTGGAACTGAATAATATGCAAACGTTTTCTCCGAGCAGGAAAGCTGTAATAAAAGATTTTCGAACCCGAGAATCTTATACCAGATATTGTAAGCAAAGTTTGTTTATATTTCCCACCTCCAGACGTTACTCCAGACACCATTAAAAGTGCATAAAAGTAAATATTTTTGTTTGATAGAAAGGTTAATATAGTATTTAAGTTAACGCAAAATAAATTAAAAGTAAAAAATCTTTTTTTAAAAACAGGTAAGTACTCGTATTTACTTAGTTTGCTTATTTAATTTGCTTGTTTATCTACACAGATAAATCTCGCGACAAGCTTTTATATCATAAATTGTGTAACGACTTTACAAGTTGATAGCAAAAAAAGTTTTAAAAGAAAAGTTTATTTTATTCTTTTTAGAGCATTTAAATATAAGCTTGTTTTTAAAAAAGATTTTTTACTTTTAATTTATTTTTTACTTTTTAGTTATCGCTGGACAGAGGTTTCTCAGTCTGTTAAACTCATCAACGCATCATTCTGGCAAGGTCGTTTACCGTTTAATTTTGAACAGTCCAAATTAGAGGTAAGCAACCTTTTTTCCCGCCAAGCCACATAAATATGATGGATATTTCTCTCAGGCCGCAACAAGAGGATAATGGGAAGGAGGGGTAAACACTGTTAGACCAAAACAACATTGGACAATGCAAAATTAATTAAAATATTAAAACTCAATTTTTTTTTTGCTTTTACTATAATACTAACTATAATCATGGACCAAAAAATTAACGCACCAAGATGGAGTCGTCAAAAGGAAATGAAATTTTACATACGTAACGACAACTTTGATATAAGGAAATGATTAGAAAATCAAAGAAAAACGATCAATTATTTCAGAGAAAAAGGCACAGAACGAAGGATTTAATACCCTGTTCAATCCCCTTAATCGCGAATGCACGATGCGATACAATCGAGCATTGATGCATACAAACTTTGTATGATGTCTTGAGAAATTTCATTCCATATTTGCTGTATCCTTGCCTCTAGTTCGTTCAAAATCGGGGGCTGCCAAACTCTCCGTCCCAAATTATCCCAGATATGCTCGATTGGGGACAAATCTGGGAATCGGGCAGGCCAAGGAAGGGTAGTAACAGTGCAGATACAGTCTTGTGACATCCTTGCCATGTAAGGGCGAGCATTGTTTTGATGAAAAATAGCTCCTGGAAGCCGTTACATGAATGGCAACACAAGTGGTTGCAGGATATCATGGACATACTGCTGGGCTGTTATGGTACCATGGATCAATGGTAGGGGTGACAATGTATTGTAGGCAATGGCACCCCATACCATCACATCAGCTGTTGTAGAGATGTGTCGCCTTAAAGCAAAGGCAGGATTGTGGCGTTCACCACGGGTTCTTCAAACACGAACACGATTGTCATCACTGCTCAGATTGAATCTGGATTTGTCGCTAAAGCAGACCTGGTTCTATTCCGCTGCAGTCCAGTTTCATTGTGCCCGGTACCAGTCCAATGATTGATTGATTGATTTAATGATTGAATATTAACGTCGCACTGTTCAGCTACACGAGGGCTTTTGTCGATGGACCACGTAATTTTGAATCATGGTCAAGGACGTGGGACAATGAGACTGGCACCCTCCTACTCCACACCACACGGGAGGACGTTCAGCCTCGACGATTTAACGTGCATCGCTGCCCTACACGGCGGGTCTTTAGTGGTACTGGGCTCGAACTCGTGACAAGGCAAGCCACGATCCGATACCTATATCACTCGACTACCGCAGCCACGGCACCAGTCCAAATGTAGTCTTCGATGGTTGGGTGTCAAGGGCAATCCACGTAATGGACGCCGCGATCCCAAATGTCCTTCGGCCAGGAGCCTTCGTATGGTTCGAGAAGATACATGCCCCCCTAGTGAAGGTGCTACATTTGCCTGGATGGCGGTCGATGAAGCAGTTGGCTATAAGCGTACATTTCTAACGATGTGGTGGTATTCTCGATGACTGGTCTGTCGAAGGCGTCCTTAACCTGGTCTTCGTGTAGATGACATCTCTAGGATCTACTAGTCCCAACACCTCATCACAACACAATCAGAGCGGACTAATTGTCGAGCTACTCGCCTAGTTGACCACCCAGCTTTCAACATGCCGATGATTCTCCTCCTTTCAAACTGCGGCAGCTGCTCATATTGTCCTCGGAAACAGCGTAATGACATGTTTAGCTCTTCTTCTCTTTGTAAACGATTCAGCACACTCAAACAAGCTTTTTTTGGTTACCTGTTTTACACTCCACCTGTCAAGCTGTTTAAGAATCGGTGAATGTTCACTTTCTCGAGAGCTCTGAAAGCGAGAGGGGAAGGGGAATTTCCATGACAATATGTCATGCATTTAAAAATGTTCGTGCAACGCCGGGGGGAAATAAACCTGTCTGACAAAGAAAAGAAGCGAAAAATTTCGAACAGGGAATTTTAAGTTATACACTCGATAAAAGCTCGAGAAATACAGGGCTAAGCGGAGGAGGGATGGGGTGGAAGTCATTTTGAAAAAAATATTAGAAGTGCTAATTTTTGAAGGAAAGGGAAAATTTATAAAAGTAGAAAAAACCCGCGCAATTTGTCTTTTTAGCTAATTGCGATATCGGAATATAAATGGTCAAAACGTATATTCATCCAAACTAAGCATGTATACCAAATTTCAGCTCAATCGGTTGAAAATATCAGCTTCAAAATTGAGTTGCCAGATTCCACCCGAACAATTTACACTGCTAGCCACCGTAAATGCAACACCAAGAAAGACAAGAGATAACACAACAAAATTTATTTTGTAGATAACATGTAGACCAAGTATCAAGTGATTAAATTTATAGCCTTCTGTTAAGTGTAGTTCCTGAAAGAAACAGTAGCCAGAGTAGCCGCCATTGTTGGAAAGCACCGCTGCCACACGCCTCGACATTGATTCACAGGAGACTTTGGATGTGTTCTTGGGGTACAGCAGACCAAGCAGCTTCCACACGTTGCCAAAGTATATCTGGTGTGGCAGCTGGGGGTGTAATCCGGGTCAATCGTTGAGCAACCATGGACCACACATTTTCTATTGGCGAAAGATCTGGAGAGCGAGCCCGCCAGGGAAGCAACTCAATCTGGTGATTGACGAAGAACCTTTAGACAATGCGTGCCACGTGTGGTCGCGCATTATCCTATTGAAATATGGATGTGGCCAAGCCCTGAAAGTAAGGAAGGACAACTGGCTCCAACACCTCGGAGATGTAGCGCTGTCTGTTTTAATTCCGGCAATGCGTACTAGAGGAGTGTGCGAGAGTGATATCCAATACCACCCCATACCATAATACTCGGTACAGGACTAGTGTGGCGGTGCATAACGCATATGTTCAGCTTCCTCTCTCCACGGTGTCTCCAGACTCGAAACCGACCACAATGGTGTTGCAGACAGATACGTGACTCGTCAGTAAAGACAACTTCATTCCATTCTGCCACCCACATCCTTCTTTCATCGCTCCATTTGTGGCGTAGACATCTGTGGCTCTGCGTCAAGGGTAGACCATGCAATGGATGTCTTACGGACAGACCACTCTGCTATAAACGGCGTCGAATGGTACGCGCAGACACTGAATGATGCGTTACAGACTGAATGTGCTGTGCTATGTTTCGTGATGTGACTGAGTGATCTGTCGCTGCCATGCGCACAATTTGACTATCCTCACGTGAAGTGGAGCACTGAGGTGGATGCGATCGTCCACGTCGGTCCGTCGTACCCTCTGCATCCAACGGTCACATATCCGCATTACAGTTGTTTAGTTTCGTCCAACTCGACTACCGATTTACCTGAAAGATAATCCACAATCTCGGTACATCACTATCCTTCCTCTGTCGAACTCGGGTACTTGATCAAAAGCTGATCGCTGTTTTCTACGAGACATAACTGTTAGTTTTTCAAAAAAAAAAACACAATTGCCGAACTTGAAATTGTCGAAATCTCCAAGCCTTAAATAGCGCTTTGCGGTGGCGCCACAGACGTACGTGATGTGTGTCTGTTCTGAAATTCTAATCATTTGCATATCTCACTCCACTAATGCATGTTGTGAATTTCATGTTATTTGCATGCTTCCTTCAGTGTGTTGCATTTAAGGTGGGCAGCAGTGTACATTGGAAGTTAAAAAACTTGTATAATATAACATGCTTTCTACGTATAAAGAGTGGAATATTGTAAAATATTTGTTTGAACAAATCAAACGAATTTCAAAATATTTTACGCGAAAAAATGATAAGTGGAGGCGCGGGGTACCGATCCCCGTACCTCTTTCATACTAAGCGAGCGCTCTACCATTTGAGCTACGCCCCCAGTCCACATCTTTGTTATTTTAAACATGCTTGCCTTAACACCTGAACAAGATCGTTACAGCAACTAGGTCAATTAAAAGTGTTACGTGAGAAACTAGAATCGAGTAAATGGATAACATAGAATGTTTCAAAATAAATACAAATAGTTTGACAGATCTGCTTTTCTTAGTGTTCCCTCTAGAACAGCTAATTATAGCATACTTTGTATGCAGAGTGGAAGCATTGCAAAATATCTTGTTGTACAAATCAAATGAATATTAAAAATATTTTACACGAAAAAAATAATGATTAGAGGCGCAGGGTATCGATCCCCGTACCTCTCGCATGCTAAGCGAGCGCTCTACCATCTGAGGCTTCGCCCTCGGTCCACACCTTTGTTGTTTTAAACATGCTCGCCTTAACACCTGAACAAGATTGTTACGGTAATTGGTTACAGATATTGGAATATAAATCGACAAAACATGCATTGTCATTCCAACTAAACGTGTATACAAATTTTCAGCTCAATCAGTTGAAGAATCAGCTTCAAAATTGAGTTGCAAAATTCCCCGAACAAATTACTGTAATTAATATCTTTTTAACTAATTGCGATATCGGAATAGGAATGGTCAAAACGTGCACTGTCATCCAAACTAAAAGGGTATACAAAGTTTCAACTCAATCTGTTGAAGACATCAGCTTTAAAATTGAGTTGCAAGATTCCACCCGAACTTTTACACTGCAAGTTAAATAAAAGCTTGTAAAAATGAGGTTTAATATTTTGATTCATTTTACTTTATCCTAACTTGCTTTGATCTTACAGTAGTATCCCCTTCATTATCCTCAAGTTGAGATCCCCATGAAATACCTGTCAGATGTACCCCTATTCTACGCTCTCATTTTGAGGTGGTTTTTAAATTTTGAGATAGATTGTCTCCGTCACTTCACCATGATTTTTGAAACAAAAAGCTAAGAATTCCTGACTCAAAATTCAAAACCTAGCTTCTTAAATTTTTTTTAAAATCAAAATGTTGCCTTGATTCATTTATCATACCAGGAATATAAAAGTACTCGATGCATTTTTTACAAATATATAATCGAAGGATATTTCAAGAACTATATAAAAGGGGAATTTAAAAAAGCAAAAGCGGAAATAATACATCACGCTTTATTGTTTTGAAGTAATTTGAATAAATGACCAGAAATAAATACTTTTTAAAAAATAACTTATATCCCATTAATTAGGACAACTCCAGTTAGAGCATTAAAAAAAAGAAGTAAATTTAAAGACGTATACTTAAACTAAAGAATGCAATAGCATTCTCTTAACTTCAAAACAATAAGTAAATTATGTTTTAATTTATATCATTTATCCGACTAAAAGTTATTTATACTTGCTTTCTTTAATTCAAGAAAAAACAAATTACTAATCTTACTTAAACAAAAGCAAATGAGCTAACTTAAATTGTATACAGTCACGAAAACGGCCTAATATGGACCGCAGGGTAGCCGAGTTTGTAAAAATGCCTGGAAAAAGAGTAAACATGGGTGTATCCCCATAAAATATTAGACTGCACTTGTATGTATTGCTTACTTAATAATACGAAAAAAAACTGCTAAAATGTCCTTAAACATGGGAAAAGTATGTACTTTTTGAAAGGCATAGAGTATTTACTGCATGAAATTCAAAATTAATAAACACATAGTATGCAGCAATTTACCTGATTAGACACACCTCAGAAAAATACTTCATGAAGACACAAAGCTATATACGGTGAAAATTAAAATCATAACTTTGCAAAAAATAGCTACTTCTTTTTAAAAAAAATGCGTAATGCGTCCTGTTGTCTTCCGCATTGCATTCTACATTTTGCTGTTTCATCTGGTGAAAGAAGAAAAAGAAACAGTAAGTTCATTAGCCATGAACCTTGTTTAAAATACTGAAGGAAAGTTTATACAGCCCTTAGTCCCTCCCTATGCGATATTTTAGGAGTTTGACTGCGTCCTAAATGTTAATAATTTTCCGGCATTTTTTCATGAACTGAAATAGCAGTAGTACGGTCTTGAACGGGTCTGACAGAGTTTTTCGACCTGAAATAATGTGGCCGAGTTATACGGACTGGCAGGTTATAGAGTGCCGAGTTTTAGGGACTCCACGGAATCATAAAAAAAGTTCACAATAGTATGTGTGAAGAAACGTCTGCTAGGGTTGGCGTGGTTGGTTTGTTGCTGGCCTTCTGTACCTAAGGTTGCGGGTTCGATCCCGGCCGAAGTCTATGTACATTCCTGATGCAGAAAATTGACAGCGACCAGCTCAGTATGTCTTCCTCTATACTTGTTCGTGGTTCAAATTTACGAGGATCGTTGTCACAGCCCTCCCAAAATTTTATATTGCGACATTAATATAATTCCTTGAGGGGCACTAGGGCTCAAACTCCTGACATGTAGGCCATAAGTCTATAGCCATGACCACTAGGCTACCTCGGTCACCAGAATCGATGATGTTAAACGATAAATAATGGAATCAATCGGTACATAGTGCCTAAATGAGGTCTTACGCCAGTGTACAAGATTACACATACATCTAGAATTTTGTAAAGAAGAGTTATGATGTAATTTAAACAAATGACTCTTTTACAACAACAAGAAATAGGTTTCAAAATTCATTCCAAACTTTTCATTTAGTATTTAAACTAACAATGCTTCAAATATTTCAAAAAAATAATTTCTCCAATAATTAAGACATAATTTAACTGAATTATTAGTTATAATATCTGAAATAGCGTATAAGATTAACGTTTTTTATAATCTATTCCATGTAGCAGAAAACAGTTTTATAATTCCATCAAAGTAGAAATCAAAATGCTGCGATTATATCCTTTTTATACAGAATTACATGGAAGAAATTTTTTTATTATTTTGAATCAATAACCGTACGTAAGACAATGCGAAAAAAAAAAAACACCTGAAATAGAAGATTTAGTACTTAAAACAAATATTTTTGTACAAGATACACTCATCATTCATTAAAAAAAAAAGGAAAAAGAAAGAACGAAACAAAAACCGAATGCATGTCTTATATTTTTTAAAATTAAAGTTTTAAAACTGATATAAGATTCCTGGTGACTAAAGAAGTGCAGCGTTGTTGATGCGGAATAAATCTTCTGAGGCTAAAAGTCCTCATGTTGGCGTGATGAGGAAGCTAAGAACCAAGAAAGAATTGTCCCTCATTTATCGTGTTCAAAATTCGAGTATGGGAAAAATTTTTTCTTCGGTTTCTTTGAAGGACAATTTACAGTCAAAGAATCAAACCCATTTTTAAAAACGATTCTAGATGCAATATGAAAATATCACAATATAAAACTGTATAGTAATTATTAAACGAGGAATTTTTAAAGAATAGTTATGATGCAATTTAAACACGTAACTTTCTAACGCAACAAAAGATTTCAAAATTCATTCCAAACTTTTCATTTAGTATTTAAACTACGAATTCTTAAACATTTGAAAACGTATTAAGATCTGAAATAACGTGTAAGATATATGTTTTTTAATCATCTAATCAATACAGCAGAAAACGGATTTTAGTAAACAGTACAATAAAGTAAAAATGAAAACGCGCGCTGTCATTATATTCTGGGCAAATTGAATTACATAGAAAATTTTTTTATTTTGAATCAATAACCGAACGTAAAGAAAAGCGAAAGAAGAACCTTCTCCCCCAAAAAAGAGTATTTAGAACTTTAGACAAATATATTCATACAAGATACACTCATCCACTTAGCAACCCTGTGTTTTTCTAAAAGGATTCATAAAAAAAGGAAAAGGTTAAACCTTTTTTTCATTCAAGTTTTAAAATTGTTTGTTTACTATTTTCTCCCCTAAAGGGCCTGACGTGGAGGAGCTATGAAAGTTAAACCTGTTGAGGCTGAAAGCCTCATTTGGGCGTTTTGAGGAAGTCTGAAGGAACACGGACTAACCCAGATGCCGTTCTTGTCAATTTATTATAGTTCAAAATAACGAGGACCGTGGAAACAGTGCTTCTGTTTCTTTGAAGTGACACATTAATAAGCAGTCAAAGAATCAAACATGTTTAAATGGTTCTAGATGCAATATGAAAATATCACAATATAAAACTGTATAGTAATTATTTACGTGTATTTTAATATATGAATATCTTTATAAACAACTCTGTATTCCAAAAATAAATATGTAATTTAAAAGGAAAGAGAAATAAAAACCAATATTAAGTTTTTGTTCGATGGACTGATTGCATATTAACAATGCTGTTCGAATCTACCAAAGGTATTTGGTGATAGATGTCATAATTTTGATCATCTGTTCAATAACGAAGAGGACACCTGAGATGATACTTTATTATCCAATTTTTGCACATCATCACAACAGGAGGACTTTAAACCTTGAATCATTTTACGTGCATCAGTGTTTCTACACGACGGGTCTTTAATGTCAGAAGGTTACGAACCCATCAATATTCAGAAATAAAACCGTACATGAGTTCAAAACTATAACCACTCTTATATAAGGGTTAAAATAACTTTTGAAACAGAAGCTACATACAAGAAACTTTCACTAATAGTTCCTTGTATTAAGCGCGTTGCTTGTATTTGTATCCAAGTATGTATCATTGTTATAAGGCAGGGGTGGCGAACCTTTATGGATCCACGTGCCATATTTTCAAACGAAGTGTTTAATGAGGTACAAGACGTGCCGTCAAACGATTTTGATTTATGATTTTTGGGGAAAAAATAATAAAAGTGAATTTATATAACAACTCAAACTTTTTATTTATTTCAAATAAACACACTTTGACTCTAAAAGTTGTAAATGTTTTAGTTAAAATGTAATTTAAATTGAAGTAATATTAATGTGACTTCTGTTCTTGCACAATGGATGACAAATAAGTTTTATTAAGATTAAAAAATGTTACTTTTAGTAGAATGCATGCTGAATTGGAGTCATCTGCAAATGGTTCTTAAGCAATTAATTTTTTTGCTGTGGTTTACTTTTGACAAGAGGGTTTTTAGATTTGTCTCAAAATGACGATTCACTGACGATGTTCTGCATGACAGCGTTCCAGAACATAAGACACTCCGCTTTGTCGCCTTTACTAATCATGCAATATTTCTGGATTCACCGTTAAATTTTCTGTTATGCTTACTGTCTTGCACTTTTTGTTCTTTTTCAGAACTAATTACGTTAAATAACAATTAAAAATCGTAAAAATAACATAAAAAAAACTTTAAAATACTGTTCTGTCGACGAAATTGACTATGCTATGCGTTGACAAATTTTGTATTATAAGAAACTGTAGTCCAAAACGTAACTAAAGCAATAACTGAGAGTCAAAACAAACGAGTGTG